CGCGCTGTGCTTCAGCGGCAACTGCCTGCCGCCCGGCGCCGAGCCCGCCGCGCACTGCTACTGCGGCCACCAGTTCGGCAGCTTCGCGGGGCAGCTGGGCGACGGCGCCGCCATGTACCTGGGCGAGGTGCTGGGCCCGGCCGGGCGGCGCTGGGAGGTGCAGCTCAAGGGCGCCGGCCTCACGCCCTTCTCTCGGTAAGGGGCGCGGGGGCCTCGGCCTCTGCCTTCGCCTCCTGGCGGGCGGCCCGGCCCGGCGCGGCCCCGGGCGAGGTGGGCAATGCTGTTCCCTGCACTGGCCGCGCACTCCGGACGGCCCCGCTCCCGCCCCGTCCCCGCCGGCCTCCGGCCTGGCTCTTGTCCCCTGGTGTCAGCAGATGGTCCCCAGCCACCTTCCTCATCAGGGGGGCTTGCACTGGCCCCTCGCCTTTGGGCTTGTTCTGCTTAATCCATGTCCTAGTGACACGGCTCTGGAGAGCAGCCTTTGTAGCTCCAGCACCCCCTCAAGGTTTGGTTATTAGCAGGGATCCTGGTTTTCTCTGATTCAAAAAAAAAATAGCAAACTTTCAGATTAAAAAAAGTAACCCAAATTCGACATTTTTCTGTGATTTAAAATGAAACGTCACTAATGTCTAGGTAGACATATAGCTAGATCTAGGTAAAATGAAATGCCACTAATGTACAGGTCTAATTGCAGGAAAATGTTGGGTTGCTTTTTTAAATCTGAAAACTGGGGACTTTTTTTAATCAGAGAAAACCAGGATCATCCCTGGTTATTAGGGCAGGAGGGGGGAGTCTTCGGTTGGGACTGGTTTGAGGTACCCTTGTCTGTGCTTTTTTGCCTTCCTACAGGACAGTGCTTCCACAAGAGCCACATGCGCTGCACAGTTGTCTGAAAGGCACTCGCCACCATGCTCTAGTCCAGTGGTGCCCAGCATTTTTGGCTGGTGGTCTGAATGGGCTGTGCCATGGGCTGCATCCTGCTGTGCAGAGGCAGGCAGGGGGGCAACCCTGCCCAATATGGCCACGCAGAGGAAGGGGCATGGCCCAGGACCAGCCTAGCTCTTCAGCCCTGGGGGGGCAGCATGGTCCAGCCCCTGTCCAGCTACAGGGGACCCTGGTCCAGCCACTGCGGGCAGGGAGAGGGAGCATAGTCCAGCTGTAGCCCATTGCATGGGGGTTGGGTATTTGGTAGGGTGGAGGGTGGCCATATTAATTGCCAAATTGCTGCCAAATTTTTGGATGCGTAGGGAGCCCAGTGGGCTAGTTGGGATGGCTCTGTGGGCCACACTTGGCCTGCAGCCAGAGGTTGAGGACCCGTGCTGTAGTCTAACAAAATAATAAATGGGGATATCAGAGGGCAAGGGAAGCTTTTTAAATCAATCAGAACTCCTATTTTTCATGTATTACTTCATCTAGGAAAATAATTGGTACCATCCTGAAAAAAGAACAATCCCTATTTTAGAGAGCAGAGACATTGAGCAAAACACAAAGGGGAAAATGAAACAAACCAAGTAAATAGATTTGCAGAGGCAGGGGTGTCTGTAACACATCAAAGTGATGCCACCAAACAAAAGCCAAAATGTAGGCAACCTGAGACCTGAATGATTTGGGAATGAAAAACTTTCAGGTTAAAACATTTACAAGATCAGTTTTGCTAGTGGCAGACAACCAGATTCTAAGTATAAACAGGATAGGGTAGACAATTAAGAAAAAATAACTTTTAACCTTAGGAAAACGCATCATTTCTTTCCATCCAGTTGGTCACTAATGGTTTTCCCACAAGTTGTACAGTACTAGTAACATTTGGCCAAGAAACATCCACAATTCTAAAACAGCATGTATGTCATGAAGGTTTTGCTGTTTTTTTCTTCCCCTTTTCAGCTTTTGGGTGGTTTTTGATGTTGGTCCTTGTGGTGTCCTTGTGTAGCAGCACTGTGCCCCTAAGGATCTCATTTGCTTTCCTCAATTCACAGGCTCTAGCCAGGCCAGCTGGTGAGGATCACTGGATTTATGCCAGGGCCCCTGTGATCCAGCCATGCATGTGCTGACCCCAAGACCCAGAGAAGGCATGTATCTGTGCTGTACCACATCACATGACCTGGAGTCCAGTGTTTTATCTTTTCAAGAAATCCATTTTTATTTAGTTCTGTATGTACAGGGGCATCTGCAAAAAATCTTGTGTCATTCAGTGGCAAAGAGTAGCTGCTGAAAGGGAGAGTAAACAGGGGATGACCAAGGTTTTTTCTGCTGTTCCTCTCCCACTTGCAGTCTGTATGATTTGGAGTCTAGTTCTAATTCAGAGGCTGTACCCAGAGACCATCCGAGCAGGGCCCAGGGCAAATCGGCCTGTGTAGGCCCTGCCCCTGGACGCAAGGAAGCCATTGGGGGTGGGGAGGTGGTGCTGAGCAGTCGGATGTGAAGCCGGCGGCAGTGTGGAGTTGCTGTGCCCGCTTTGCCTGGCTCCACAAAGTGCGGGGCCTGGGGTGGTCGCCCTGGTTTGCCCCCTGCTAGGGACAGCCCTGGCTGTACCCCTAACTCCTGTGCTCAGTAGCTACTGATCCTCCTTTGAATTGGTCCAGTCCCTCTTTGAATCTGGCTAAACTGTCAGCTTCCACAGTGTTTGGTGGCAGGGAGTTCCACACTTGAATTACTTGCTGTATAATGACATTGTCCAGGAATTATGGGAGAGGCAAGGACTGCTTAGGGCGAGATCTTTTATTGGAGTTCAGTTGATGTAAAGTTAGGTATGCTTTAGAATGCAAGACATTCTTCCTCAGGTTTCTGATCACAGCAGCTGGGCATGGCATAGTGAACCACAGCCCAGGGGAGGAGCTGAGAGCAATTCCAGGGTAGCAGGCATCTAGTTAGCAGAAGCAAAGAAGCTGAGTACTGGGAGATCAAGGCCTCTCAGAAGGGAGGAGGGCCTCTCACCCTCCCTGTGCGAAAGATTTCAGGAGTTGAGTAAAACATAATATACCATAAACCCAAGGTCAGTGTTTAGTCCTTGGTTCTTGGCATCCAGCCAGCTTATGAATTTTTGTTCCCAACCTCACCTTTTAAAAGTGTTAGGTAGATTTCCCTTGAGCAGGAAGATAGTGAGATCAGGGAGAGTGGTTTTCTGGTTTTTGTACATGCCATTTAAGATGTAACCTTCAGTATATTTTCCAGGTCAAATGAGTGCTGGGGTTAAACCAAGCAAATGTGTAACTTTGAATACCAGAGCAATTGAATCTATTTACAGTTCCTTTTGCCAGCATATCCCATTTTGTATCCTCTTAACTTTTAACAAGCTTTTGGTTACTTAACAATTGCTGGTTAAGTGAATTCATCTAGGAATGACATCAAGTGCTCTGCTTAAGCCCTAGATATGGCTACTCCAGTACAGATTTTGGGGGGGGGGGGGGGGGGG